AAGAAAAATGAGGACATAAATCCCTCAAAGTCTCACAGAGGTTTAAATCCAAACTTATTGGAACAAGCTAAGCTAGAGACACAAGACTTGATAAAGGAACAGTTAATTGAGCCTACCAGTTCACCTTGGGTTTGTAAAGCTTTTTATGTAAACAAAAGAGCTAAATAAATTCGAGGAAAACTCAGGCTAGTGATCAATTACCAACATTTGAATACTTTCATTGCAGATGACAAATTCCCTTTGCCTAATCAAATTGCATTATTTTTTCAAATTTCTCATGCCCATATATTTTCCAAATTTGATTTGAAATCAGGATTTTGGCAAATAGGAATTCACCCAGATGATCGTCCTAAAACAACCTTCTGTTTACCGAATTACCATTTCCAATGGGTTGTTATGCCCTTTGGTTTGAAAAATGCACCCACATATTTTCAAAAAGTCTTAACAACTATTTTTGAACCAATCTCAATACAGGCATTGATATATATAGATGACATACTCATCTTTTCTCCTGATCTAGATAGTCAGGTTCTCTTGTTAGATAAATTCCACTCCCTCTATTGTAAATATGATATTATGCTTTTCGAAAAAAAAATGTGTCTTTGCTACATCAGAAATAGATTTCCTTGGTATGCATTTTCACAATGGAATGTACAAACTCCAGCCCCATATAGCCAAACACTTGCTAGAATTTCCTGATACTTTATCTTCTGTAAAGCAAATCCAGCAATTTTTAGAATTGTAAATTATATGTCCCCTTTTATTCCCAAACTTTCTTTGTTCATTAGTCCTCTTTACCTTTTGCAAAAGAAAAAAGCACCGCCATGGACAAGAAAACAGACTGAATGTGTTCTAGAGCTCAAAAGATTATCTCAAAAATTTATCTTATTTAAAAATCCCTTCTACAGGAAAAATAATTTTGCAAACAGATGCATCTGATGAATTTTGGGCATGTATTTTGCTTGTAGAAAAAGAAAAAAAAAGAATGATTTGTAGCTATAAAAGTAGAAAGTTCAAAGCATCTGAACTTCATTACCATTTAACATTCAAAGAAATCCTAGCAGTAAAAAGAGGAATTGAAAAATTCTAGTTTCATCTAATAGGACATACTTTCCTTGTTGAAATGGATTTATTTGCTTTTTCAAATATGCTAAAATTCAAGAATAAGATTCTTCCGAATCCCCAATTACTCAGATGGTCAAATTGGTTTTCTCAATGGAATTTTGAGTATAAGCATATTTCTGGAAAGAACAATATTTTGGCAGATATGTTTTCTCGAAGAAAATTTTCTGAAGAACCAAGTCTTTCAGTTGTTCCTTTTTTGGGAGCAATAATCAGAATTGATGAAGAATCAAAAGACGTTCCTGATGAAATATATGACATCATTCTCAGTAAAATAATGGAATCAAGAAATGAGAATATGCAACAAAAAATGCATGAAATATTAAACAGAAATCATAGAGAATGTTTTCAAAGAATTCGATGCCATTCTACATATCCATTTTTATCTCTATTCCAAACCAGACATTATTATAATATGCCAAAAGAAGCTATTTGTTTCCTCTAGTATCTTACCCAAAAACACCATATATGTTTTAATTTCCATGTATGGAAATTATCATGCTATCTCAGACATTGTCATTTCCTACAATAGAACAATTACATCCACCTCAATCCCAGAGCCTTCAACTTTTATAAATTTCTTTTAAAACACTACCATTATAATCAATGGATTGAATCCTTTGGTTATCCACACCGACCTTTTATCATTATAGCTTTCCATCAAGATCTTAGACCTCAAATTTATACTGAACATACTTATTTTACCCAACATTCTTTTATCCAGACTGTTGGATGGTATGATTCTAATCTCCTGAATTTTTGGATATTTCAGACAGAATTATGAAAAGAGTTAAAAATTCTCATGCGCTATATTAACATAATCTAGCCTGAATGGATTCCTTTGGATGTCTATACAGGAACCACAGTATGGAATGATGAGACTCCCCGAGGAGCTGCACTACTACACCAACTGCACATATGGCTTGTTGATCACCCTCCTCCTGCAGTAATACAAACAGGTAGTTCCAATGATGATTCCTACATAGGACCCTCACACAGTCCGTCTAATCCTTCATCACCAAGCTATGATTCTGATGGTTATTCTCTCAATTATGACACAAATTAGACAAAACTGTTCAATATCACTGTGGATATCACTATTTTTTCGGCAGCACTGTTCAATATCACTATGGATATCACTATTCTGTCGGCAGCACTGTTCAAAATCACTGCATTTCTCTTTAGGCTTATAAGTTTTTGGAAAAGGTTTATTATACTTCCTTATGACATATAACATATATACTTCCCCTTGTCCCCTTGTCCAGCTGTTCAATTTAGATTACGTTAGTCATTGACCGTTTGATCTAGATCCAACGCCTGAAAGTATTTTATTTTAAATTTTTTTCAACAAATTGCATGAATTTAAAATTTGGTACGTGCCATCTTTTAAATCCAACACCTCAAAGTATTTTACTTTTTATTTTTTTTTACAAATTGTATTAATATAAAGTCTCAAAGTATTTTATTTTTAATTTTTTTTTACAAATTTTATGAATATAAAATTTGGTAAGTGTCATCTTCGAATCTAATGCCTCAAAGTATTTTATTTTTAATTTTTTTCTTCTAATAGAACACCTCAAAGTATTTTATTTGAAATTTTTTCTACATTGTATGAATATAAAATTTGGTATATGCCATCTTCTCAATGGGACGCAGCTTAAAAAAAATGCCTCATAGTATTTTATTTTTAATTTTTTCTTCGAATATATAGTCTCAAAGTATCTTACTTTTAATTTTTTTGCCTCAAAGTAACTTAAAAAAACAGACATTTTGTTGATCTTCAGTAAATGCAGGATTGGAAACTGTAACATAGCAACTAGGTAGGGGAGTGCTACCACGATGATCGAGCCCCTTTTGCTACTAAGTGGCACCTACTGTTTCTACGTTATAATTAAAATCCCTCCAACTGTGGGTTCCCTCTCAATTCACACAAATTATATTGTAAAAAGATAGGAGTTTCACTATTCAATTTATTAAATCTCTCACGCGCTTTTGACCTACTCGTGTCTTTAGTAGGAGAAATGGACTCACAGTCGTGCTTCTAGAGGTAAAAATCAACGTCGCCAAATTTCATTCAAAATCTGATTTGAAATGTTATTTATCTAAGATATAATAAGAGAACATATTGAATAGTTCAAAATCGCCATAGTTTCTGTGTCAAAGGTTGCTAGATTCTTCCGAAATCCAAATTCCTCACAAGTTGGACAAGGATATCTTTTCCACGAAATCGGAGGCACAGCACCACCTCTCTCTCTCTCGGGTCACGGCGGCCTGGCCAGCTCCGAAAGCCCCATCTTAAAATAAAATAAAAAAAGTAGGATATGGGCTACAAACTGCATCATGTGGGCCGGGCTAGGGTCAATGTCACTCTGACTTTTTTTTTTCTTGTTTTTTAATTTTTATATTTAGTTTTAGCCAGGCCATGCTAACTTTAAAGGAAAAAAGCCGGTCGCGACCCGGCCCGAGCCATTGCCACCGTACTCTCTCATTTTGGACTTAGTCTTTTATTTTAAAAGTTTAAGAAGAAGAGCTCAAACACACGCCAGCCTCGTACGTCACACCCAATAAATGAATGGGAAGACTTGAAAAGTCTATCCTTTACTATATTCTTAAGAGTTGAAAACCTCTTTATTATATTTTTAAGTGTTGAAAAGTTTATGTAACGTGTCAGCCCCACACGTAACGTGCACATCAAAAGGTTGTGTGGGCACCAAATAACCTCCAACTTCATGTCCACCTTGTGAAAAACAGAAAGGGGTTGCGGGCGTGGCCGCACCTGGCTAAGGCCTTTCATTCTCATCTTAGGCAATAAAAAACACGAACAATTTCAAAAAAATAGATAGGGGCTCTTGATTTAGTAATAGGTCATATTTACTGAATTACTTAAAAAAAAAAAAACAGAATTTTTTTCTTAAAAATAATTTTTGGATCATCTACTTTTAATATTTTAAAATATTTATTTTTGTTTCGACAAAGTTAGTACTTGAGACGTAATGCTCATGCAAATATTCTTTTGGACCAGTAGAATTTTGAAGTTTCGCAAAAAATTAATTTTAGGCAAAATTATAAAAATCCCGTAAGACCTTATTTTTTTTCACTTTTCCTTAAACAAATTTTATATGCAAATACCTGAAATTTTTTAGACAAAAAACAAAAATTATTTTGGTTAGATTTGATTTTTAGACAAAAACAAAAATTATTTTGGTTAGATTTGATGTTTACTTTTGGACCCAGTAGCCTATTACCGGAACCAACCATCACATTGCTGGAGCCCTTTACATAGCGTTGAAAACCTGGAATCTCGTAACATCTACGGTCGGATCGTCCTTTACAACTATTAGACCACATTTTACATAGTGCCGGAGCCCTACTATCCAAGCACATTTTACACAATTTTGGAGTCATATTATCGGATCGCATTTTACATGGTACTGGAGCCTACTGGTGGATTGCTAGACCGTATTTATACAATGCATGCTATAAAAGCAATTTTGGTGGGATAGAAAAAGAGGCATGGTCAACGTAAAAGTAAGGGATTAGGTTTTTTTTTTTTTCAAAGTTAAAAGGTATTAGCGTATTTTGACAAAAAAAAAAAAAAAAAAAAAGTTAGGCTGAAGTAAGTTACATAGAAAGTAGAGTCTGGTTTTTTTTTTTAAATTTTCCCTTAATTTTACGTAGCCTTGAAAGAGACAGTTTGAATTTTTCGCTGGTCACAGACCGAGTTAATTGAAAGGGAATTTTCCAATCTTATTTACTTTAACTATTTTAATCTCAGCTTCAGGTATTGACCATCTCAAACTTCCCACGCTCTTGGATCCATGCCTCTTGCCTATAAGTATTGTCCCACTGCACTTGCAAATCCCAAGCCTCTCTCTCTCTAAAACCCACGTACCCAAGCCTCTGCATATCTCTGTCCAACTTTGGTTTCAACCTTTGGCATTAGTTCCTAATACCAAATATTTTGGTTGCTATCTTCTCGAAAAGGATTGGATTTTTTCTCATAGAGTTTAGGAAGAGATGGAAAGGAGATTATCGAGCATGAACCAGCCCCCCACTTATGGGGATTATGTAACAATTCTGAGCATTGATGGTGGTGGAATAAGAGGAATTATTCCCGCAACCATCCTTAGTTTTCTTGAGTCTGAACTTCAAGTATGTCCTCTCTCTCTCTGTTCAGCTACAGTAACTTCTAATTTTTTTACTTTTTAAAACTTGGGAAAGCTCGTCCTCGTCCTTTTCTTGAAAAGTATACTTTCTTATTTTTTGTTTTTTAAAAATCGGAAAGTTGGTACTCGTCTTTTCTCGTGAAGTATACTCATAAAAGAGAAAATGGGAAGAGAGTTTGGTGGGAGAGAAAATAAGGAGAGAGTGTGTTGGTGGGTGGTTAAAAAGCAGTGACCTATAGTCGATAAGTAAATAAATTTTATTAAACATTGCTAATTATATGTGAATTTTTATATTGAAACAATCAGAAGCTGGATGGCGAAGAAGTGAGACTTGCCGATTATTTCGATGTGATTGCTGGGACGAGCACCGGAGGCCTTGTTACTGCCATGATCACAACACCAGGAAATAACGACCGCCCTCTCTATGCTGCCAAAGATATCACCACCTTTTACCTTGATCATTGCCCCAAAATTTTCCCCCAATCAAGGTAAACTAATTAATCATAAAAAAAAAAAAAATCACTTTCTAATTGCATAACAGCATTGTTTAGTGTATAATGAACTAATCTCTCTCTCTTTCTTTCTATTGTAATACAGCGGGTTTCTTGGATCTGCTTTCAAGTTTACGAGTGCGGTAACGGGCCCCAAATACGATGGAAAGTATCTTCACAAGATCGTCAGGAAGGAGCTCGGAGATAAGAGACTTCATGAAACTCTGACCAACGTTGTTATTCCTACATTTGACATCCGATTATTGCAGCCCACCGTCTTTTCTTCCTACCAGGTAACGTCGTCTCTCTCTCTCGACCCTAAATTCCCCCTCCCACAACTCTCTCTCCGGAAATCAATCAACTGTTGCTTATCTTTCTTCAGATAAAAGCTGATAAATCGAAGGATGCGTTATTATCTGACATTAGCATAGGCACATCAGCCGCTCCGACATTCCTTCCAGCCTATTATTTTGAGAATGAAGGGAACGATGGGAAGATTCAGAGCTTCAATTTGGTCGATGGAGCGATGGCAGCCAATAATCCTGTAAGCTATTAGATTTTTAATTTTGATGTTTTGATTTCTAAAAAGAAAAAGTTTATCTAAGTGTGAGGCTCTAAACAATCAAATTAGAGCACACCTCAAAAATTTCATTGGAAGAGGTTGTTTTGATGCTCAAATTTTCTCAAATTGATCTTCTTGACCTCAAAATACATGGACATCAGAAAACAAATGGATTCCAAGTTTTGAAAAATGTGCATCTTGTAATACATTTTTGAAACGTCAGTTTTCAAGATTTTCTAAGTTTTCATAGATTTACTCGATCTAGACAATTTTTTAAGCTTTAAATTTAATAATTAGAGATAAAAATATATTTTAAGGCTATCATTAAGATTTCCGGTATTGAAACCATATTTATTCACACAATTTGAGTTTGTGCTTTACTTTGATTGATTAGAGCCTCAGCCTTCCACAAACTGCACCCTTTCTTAAAAGAATAAACAAAAACACTTTGTTGAATTCTACAATTTCTTCAAATTTATTGGTAGGTTAGGTAAGAAGTTTCATCAGAGAGGACGAAAAAACATAACATGTCTATCAAACCCAAGATTTTAATTCTTATTTTAAACAAGTTTATGGATGCCGGCATCTATTTTCTCGCTCTAGAAATTAGAAAATATTGTCTAACAAAGGTTTCAGATGAGAGAAAATACATCAATAATGTTATTCTAATGACCGGAAGATCTAACATGGATATTTCACTTCTCATTTTTCAGACACTTGTCGCTATGGGTGAGCTTACAAGAGAGATATTTAACCAGAACCCCGATTTTTTTACCATCAAACCAATGGATTACCGTCGATTCCTCGTTGTCTCTCTCGGCACTGGTACTTCAAGTTCTACTGATAATTATAGTGCAAAAGACGCTGCTAAATGGGGTGTTTTGGGTTGGTTATACAACAGTGGAGGCACTCCCCTTATTGACACATTTCAACAAGCAAGTGCAGATATGGTCGACATCCACATCTCTGTTGTCTTTAAGGCTCTTGATTCTGAACAAAGCTATCTCCGTATTCAGGTATCATCCATCTCTCTCTCTCTCTCTCTCTCTCTCTCTCTCTCTCTCTCTCTCTCTCTGTCAACATAACCACAAAACGTTTTCTTATGCATGCGGGTTGTGTTTGCATAAGTCACTGTTATATGTTACATGACATATGATGTATAAGCATGTATGCCCAGAAGAAACGAATGTCATGTATGCACCCTTGTATGACATGTATACTTGACATACACAGTCATACATGTACAAATGCGGGATCGTGGGGGTGTACAGTATCTTTTTCCAAAAAGACTTTCAACTCCCGCCGGAGTGTACTATCCATTTACTACCTCCGGCAAAACATATGCAAGGGATACTTTTAGATCTCTCAAATTTTGGAGATGTGATCTCTAAAACTTATAAGACTAATCGCAATTTAAAAAATTCCCAAATAAATTCTCTATGTACAAGAGAAAATTGTGCCTCAAGATTAAAAGATTAAATCGAGATTGTCTAAATTTTGACGAGCTAGATCCAAGTGTCACAAAACTCAAAATTTGAATTTTTCTTTCAAAATTAAGTACTTCATAGATCGTTGACAAAATTTTAAGCTAAAAAAACTCTTCTTAAATTGATGTTTTGAGTGAGGGAATAGATGCATAGTATACTTCCATGGGATCTCAGTATACATGCGCCATTTTTTATTGCGTTAAACGCTAGATTTGCGATCTGGATCGTGATGGACAGATATAAAAAAAAACTAAAATAAAATTAAAATTAAAATATAGCTTATGGGGATTTGGGGGAACATAGGTAATCTGAAGAAAAAGAAAAAATAAACATATTGGGAATCACCAAATTTTTAAGGCACTGCCCTAAATTGTGATGTTATTGTTTGTAGGATGACACATTAACGGGAGACACATCGTCGGTTGACATTGCAACGGAAAAAAACTTAAAGGATCTTGTGAAGGTGGGTACAGAGCTCTTGCAAAAGCAAGTTTCGAGGGTAAACTTGGAGACGGGGAAATTTGAGCCGGTGCCAAATGAGGGCACCAATGAGCAAGCTTTAATCAGGTACATAAATCTATTTTCTATCTTAAATATCCGCAAATAATTTTAGCATTCTATTCTTTTCATTGTGTACTTTTAAAATAATAATCGAAAAAAAAGTAACTTATAAAATAATTACAATTTACTGTATTTTGATAAAATTTCCTTTATTAGCATAATAGAAACATATAGCTATGAAATAGTAAGTGTGCTTGAGATTTATTACGGAAATTGTAGGTACGGAACTAAGTAAGTTGTGATATATCTATGTAGGTTTGCAAAGTTATTGTCCAAAGAGAGGAGAACTCGGCTGCAAAGATCTCCTCACCCCTCCAGCGAATGAGACTCTATAGTTGTTGACACACTCATAACTGAAGACTTGATTCTTTGATTTTATTATTTGTATTCAAACTAGTCCGTGGGTTCTAATCATGTGTATGGATCCAATTTGATGAATTGATGTAATGAGAAGACTCGAGCAACAACGAGTCATTAAGAAATAAATACTCATGCTTTATATTTTTGGAATAATCAAATAAATACGTACTTATTCTCATCAACTAATTCAACTCTATTTATTTATAAAGGAAAAGGTTTCTTTACTAGGTACCATTCAATGCAAGTGTATGATAAATTTATCTAAATGCACTACTTTTCAACTATTTAAGTTTGGGTGCAGTTTGTATAGAGCCTAGGCTCTAAACAATCAAATTAGAGCCTACCTTCAAATAGTGTCGAGAAATGTGGTTTCAATACTGGAAACCTTTGTGATAGCCTTAAAATGCATTTTCATCTTTATTTATAAAGTTTAAAGCTTCAAAAATAGTGTAGATCGACATATCAAAAAATTGACGGTCCAAAAATGCATTACAAAATACACTATTTTCAAAACTTGAAATCCATTGTTTTTTCATGTCCATCCATCTTGATGTCGAGATGATCAATTTGGTGATATTTGAGCATCAAAACAACTTTTCTGAGTGAAAGTTTTGAGGTAGGCTCAAATTTGATTGTTTAGAGCCTCAACTTTTCCCTTGAACTTTTACCTTTTTTCATACTATTCCAACTCAAAATCATGCCTATTTTGATAGGTATTTTAAAATTTTTTTAAGAAAAGGTGAAATGCCAAAAACTAATATTTTAAATGCATTTTGACAAATTCCCCTAAATGTATTTGCAGGAGCTGATCATGAAAAAATCTTGAGCTAATCATGAAAGAATGATTACAAAAAGGCTTGCTACTCTGCCTCATTGGTAGAGTATTTCTTTTCGAGAGAGATGACATGAGGGAGGGGACAATCATTAGGAGATATGACCAAACTCTTAGCTTTGTATACACCAGGATACCCGACCATGATAGTTAATCCATAAATAGCATCAAGAATATTTGAAAATCCTCACTTTCCCCCTATAGAGGGATAATATAAGAGGGAGTTGAACCATAAAATCCGTTCCAAAGGGCATGTATGCTTCATCAAATCACCAAAAATCAGCTAACAACCATGGCCCAAATTTGATCTGGGCTCCGACCTCCTGGTTTATGGGATTTGCCTAATTATAGGCCACTTCTAGTTGATTTTAGGGATCTTCTAGTAGACGAAGCCTTATCCTTGACTCCCTAGTTCCAGTCCAGAAAACATAAGAAAACCCTAATAAACCTTAACTAGAACAAAACCAGACTCTCTACAAAGATCCAGAAAACATAAGAGAAGAAGATTACTTCGATACCAAAAGCCCTAGAAAAACAATCCCAATCATCTGTCCCAAAGCCCAAGAGACATCCGGTTCAACAAAACCTCCAAGGAGAAGTTGCGAAGACTCATCCATCCTATCTTTTCTAGGCCCTAACTCTAGAGGGGCACACTTCCCAAGTATTGCTCTTTCTTTTGTTTATCTTCTGAATTTTCCTTTTTAACTATTTGCTTCTCTGTTTTTAACTCTTTTAAAACTGTCCTCTCATTTTCTAGTAAATTCCTAAAGTTTTTCTTTAGGTTTTATAAAAATTAGAACTGGCTCCTCGCTGATGATATACGAGAAAGAAATCTCTTACTAGACCTATTTCTCACATATTCTCGAATCTGATGAGACGCATTTTGCAGAGATTTAACTAACAAGTTTGCACACAAATCAAGACTGGATGGACCTTAGGTAGTGTATTTCATCCCGTATCTTGTGTGTAAACACTACTATGGACTCGATCATTATTTATGTTGTAGGAGAGGGAAGTCATGCTTTCGGCACGACTTGCAGAAATCTATGTAAATATGGTTTTTCCTTTTTCTTTTTTTTTTTTCCTCGTTTTTCTACTATTTTTGCCAGCCATGTGGGATATTAGACTTTTTTGATGAATCCCACTTTTATAAACTTATTTACCTCAACTCCTGTTTGGGGGCCTATTCTGCGTGACATGCATCAAATGCAAGTCTCAAATCCTGAAACTATTGTTTCTGATTCTGTATTTTCGTTCTAGCTTAATACAATTGTGGAATTTCTATACAAAAAGAAAAGAAAAAGTAAGCTTTCCAACTGCCAAATCCCAAACCCTAATATAGGTGCACTCAAACCTCTAAAATAACAGTTGGAACATTGATTGTCAAAAAGCTCGTCCCCTTTGGCCTTAGGATTAACAGTTCTCTCAAAGACGTAAATAAATTGGATTTTTAAAGATGAATCTCGCCAAATCGAATTTTATCTACCCTACCCACAACCCACCTAACATTCCTATCCACAATGTCTTTGACTCGACAAATATCTTTCCAAAGATGAGAAGCTTCTGCAGGTCTTCTACCTCAAAAAAAAAAAATTGTCTATCCCATATTTTTCCTCCGCCACATTCTTTCATAAAAGATCATCACATTGTAAAAAATCTCCACCACCATTTTGAGAGTAAGGCTTCATTGACCAACTTAAGACCCCTGATAACCAACCTTCCATTTTGGGGTACATAACGTATTCCAGCTCACAAGATGATATTTGTTCTTTCGGTCAACATTCACCCAAAGAAAATTTCTCAATCTCTTTAGTCACCATTGCTAAGATATATAATAAGGGTGCCGTTGGCATACGAATGCATCCGTAGCTGTAGAGGTAAGGTTCACCTTCAAATTTTATCATGGTATATAATTTTGATGTAAAATGTTCTTAGGAGTATCTCAAAATCTATTTTTATATCTAATTATAAAATTTTAAATTTCAAAAATGGTTAAAATCAAGTAGATCTATTAACATATAAAAATCTTGAAAATGGACGGTGTAAATAATATGTTGTAAAATGCACTATTTCTGAGACTTGAAATCTTTTTATTTTTCATGGTCATACATCTCAATGTCCAGATGATCAATCAAAGGGTTTTTCAACATTAAAACTACCTTTTCTGATCGAGTTTTTAGGTGCATCCGAAGTTTTACATTATAAAGTTGCATCCTTATATAAACTTTTTCCATATAATAAAGACATCAGGTAAATAGGAACTTTAGCATGGGAAGATTCAATCATAATGACTCTTACACCCCGCAATAGAAACTTCATCTTCCATAGGTCAAGTTTCACATGCATCCTCTTCAAGGCTGGATCCCAAACCAACCTCGGCAGTCGAGTGTTTGAGACTGGCAAACCGAGGTATTCGATAGGAAAAAAAACAACATTGTGCCCTGCTACAGATGCAAGCGAGTGCACAAGAGCATCTGAACAGCCAGCCCCAATCGCCAAAGTTTTCTTGAAATTAACTTTAAGCCCAAAACCTAACTCACAACATCAAAGAAAATTAGTGATGTACCTCAAAGCTTAAAGCCTTCGGACACCTTAAAGCCATTAAGTTTTCCCAGCCTTCCACCTTGGATATCATGAAACTAAAAGCTTCAACAATCAAAGTGAAAAAGAATGGGGATAAAAGATCACTCTGTCGGATTCATCTCAATGTCCTAAAAAAACATGTAGGGGAATGGTGGGCGCTCGAGAGGCAACCCCACATCCATCTCCTCCATTTCAAATAGATGACGCGCCTCTTTATAGCTTACTGCTAATAAGGAGGGATGAAAATATGGCTTACAGTTCTGTTCTGGATTTCACTTCTCTCAAAATAAGAGGGATACACACTAGGGAACTAGGGAGAAAAGTAAAGTACTATTGTTGTAGTCAGTAAATTCTCTTCCATGTCACCTCACTACGTCGACAAAAAAAAATTGAAATAATTATATCCTCCTACTTACTCCCTCAGTGAAAACCAAGCAATGAATACTTTTTGGATTTCGAACTTTGGGTATTGGCCTACTCAACATGCTAATAAGCATAAATAAAATAAAATAAATTGAATACACACCATAGAAGTGCCTTAACACAACCATGCACTGTGATTGAAATTTAACTGTGATTTTGAGACAATCACATCATTTGGCTCAATTTTTTTTTTTTTACTTTTGGTAACCACTCAGTTACTTATTTTAAAGTGGATTTTTAAATTTCAGATTACAAAAGTCCTCTAAGTGTGTTCTAATATGAAATTTGTTTGCACCATGCCTATTATATTATTATTATTATTATTATTATTATTATTATTATTATTATTATGATTTTGGTAGATCAATAGAGAAAGAGCTCCCTACCATGGTAAAAATAAAACTCAAGATGTCATATTATGGCACCCTTTTAAATAATAA